GGGACTGAACAGCAAGGTGGCTTTTCCTTTCAGGCAGTGGTTTTCTGAGTATATGGCAAGGGATTTGGAACTTCACTGGCAAACCTCTGTCCTGCCAGGCTGCAACCGTAGTGGCCTGCGAAGGCAGTTCCAGGCTGCAGCCTGTTCCTGTTTGGAGCTCCACCAGAGAACGGGAATTGTTGGGGTCCCACAGCAACCCTGAGGGGGTTCCTCGGGAATGTTTTAAGTGTACCAAAAGGGGTACTATGAGATCTTAAATACTCTTGAAAAAATGGGGAAGGAGGGTGATATTTAAGTAGTTTCTTGAAAACTCTGCAGAAGATGCTCTGGGTACAATATGTATTTTCCTTTGCTGAAAATACAGTTTTATCATTGTTTGTTTTTTGTCTTGCATTGAATTATTTTGTCCTCTGAACAGTGTGTAATCATTACTTGACATATTTATTAATAAACATGCAAAATATAGATAACCTGATATCTGCCCTCTTTCTTCTGGGTCGTCTCTGCCCAGCGCTGCAAGAGAATGGCTTTGTAGAGACGGTCCAGGGCTTGGAAGCCTACCATTTTCCCATTTTCCCCGTTTTCACTCATAAACCAGTGTTCCTCCGTAAACTGGATCTGAGGTCTGTGTCCTCTCTAGTGATGCTGATAGGGATTTCCATTTTTGAGTGATGAGCCATGTATGGTAAATTAAGTAACTACAGATGATTTACCACTTAAATCATGGTGTGAGTTGATATGATAGCTCTCTGAAATGGGAATATTACAGGGAAAGTAACCTGTAGCAAGGGTAGAGAATCTAATTAACAGTACAGGCAGTATAGAAATCACAAATGTTGTAAACTAAGGAAATGCAAGTTTGTAAAGTGTCTAATTTCGCTGTTGGGAGAGTAGCTTTTCTTGCGTAACTAACAACTTCCTGATGGAGGGTAAGGTTTGACCTGAATATTTCCCTGGTCACTGATCACACCAGTTCTCAGCTGCCTCTTTGCATCAGCCACCAGGGCCAGCAAAGGGTTAAGCTGTGTTGACATGATGTCTCCCCTGTACAATGCCAGGTTCTGTAGGATTTTTATGGATGAATCCAATGTCAGTGCCCTTAGATGCAGGCTACTGTTCCAGGAGTCTATAAATGTGGAAGCTGAAGGAAGATTCAAGAGCGCTGGGGGGTTTGACACAGACAAACGGGATTGAGAAGACAGTATGCCTGCACCGCAGGTCTCTAGGTGCAACTTCGATAATTGCATTTTCCCTTTACATCTTCGTTACACGAAGAGAAATGTGGCAGAGGCGCTGCCGTTCCCCATTTTGGGCACATAACAGCTTGCACACTGTTTCGAATGACGATAGAAAAAAACTTTACAGTTTCTGCCTCAGTAGAAAATGGATGCTTAAAAAAGGGCTTGGGGAGGAAGAGGACGCCCCTCTGTTGCAGAGGGTATCCCCTTCACAGCTGTGTGTTTTATTTTTTAAAATTTAAATTAGCCAAATTCTGGCTTATCATATCCTCTGTTTCTCAGTAAATGACACAGGTCCTCCTGCTTGGAGTTTCAAGTGAACCGGCAGAGATCTCTACCAGAGCCACAGGAGAAACCTGGCACTAGACTGTTTCATCTGAAGGGGGGCCGGTGGAGAACCACTGGCGACACTCCTACTAAATTTTGAGCGGTATGTTTTGAAGCTCAGGGTGGTAAACTGATACCTTTCAGTTTACCACCTGAGCTTCAAAACATACCGCTCAAAACTGTTCCCCCCTGGTGTACGTGCTTCGCCCTCCACCTCGCCTCCCCAACTG